ACTGATATTTTACCTTTTTTGTACTTAGTAGTCTAACTATAAAATCTTATAAAACATCTCCATTTAGACTAGCCACATTTCAAGCACTCAATGGCAGTATGCAGCTAGTGGCTAACATATTAGACAGTACAGGTCTAGAACACAGCCACTCTATATCTAAAAAGTGATTCTATAGTTTCTTACTGCAACCCCAGAAGATGCATCCATCCTCCCACAGAACAGAAGGCAGAGGAGACTGTCCGCAGCCTGGCTTAGTATAGGATGCAATATGCCCAAAAAATCTTCCCTACCCACCTGTGGTGCCTGTCCCCTCCCTCTCGGGCCAGCTGGCTGCTGACCTCTCACCTGCTGGACGGCAGCCAGGCTATGCAACTGGGCATTACTGAGCTGCTGCTGGAGCATGAACTGGTGGAAATACTGAGCTGCATTGGGCTGCCGCTGCAGTGCCTGTAGAGCCTAGGAAAAGAGAGAGAGGATAAAACATTTAGAAAGGATCTCTCCTAGCTCCTATTCTATGTAAATCACTGTATTTGTGTGAAAGGTGGCCATGGGAAGGACAGAAACCAGAAAAGATGGGACACTGGGCTAAATTGTCAACAGCTTATTTTCCTTTATTTTTTTAGAACAAGGTCAACTTGCTCTATCACCCAGGTTAGAGTGCAGTGGCATAATCATAGCTCACTGTAACCTCCAACTCCTAGGATCAAATAATCCTCCTGACTGCCTCAGCCTCCCAAGTAGCTAGGACTACAGATGTGCACTACCATGTCCTGCTAATTTTTTTTTAATTTTTTTAGAGATGGGGTCTTGCTGTGTTACCCAGGCTGGTCTTGAACTCTCGGCCTAAAGAAATACTTCTGCCTCAGTAAGTCTATAAAGTCCTTTAAAGACTGGGAGAAACAATTACAGTCATATACAAGAGTGGTCAGAGCAATAGGCTATACTATATAACCTGGGTGTACACAAAGCTATGTAATCTGGGTTCGTGTAAGTACACTCTATGACAGTCACACAACTACATATCACCTAACAATACATTTCTCAGAATGGATTCCTGTCATTAACTGAGGCGTGACTGTAATTCTATGGTTTATTCTCATATGTAAGAAAAGTAAAGCAGTACAATTTACACAAACTCTTATTTCTCCAACTGGGAGCTGGAAATACATGCCATGGCAAAGACTAGATAGCTTGAAAATAAACAAGATGTCGATTAATGTAAAGACAATAAGAAAAAAAGCTGGGCATGGTGGCGTGTGCCCATCATCCCAGCTAGTCAGGAGGATAAGATGGGAGAATCTCCTGGGTCTGGGAGTTTGAGGCTGCAGTGAGCCCTGATAGCACCACTGCACTCCAGCCTGGGTAACAGAGTTAGACCTTATCTTAAAAATAATAATAATAATAAAAGGATAAAATGTGGAAGTATATTTTAGGTATACAGTAAAGATAACACAGCCCTAATGGGTAGGAAATAATGAAAAAATAAATAGTGGCTTCTAAAAGATTTCATCAGGTAAAATTTTCAACCAATTCGACTAATTGGGATTTTCACACACCTAAAGTACAATGCTAATACATATTTATAAAATGAAACTAGTATTTTGCTTTTAATGCTAACTGGACTTTTCTGTATTCTTATTCTTTAATAATTAGAACTATTTGCATAGTATGTATAGTTATTCTAGTAACCAAAATATTTGCTAAAAGACCTCATTCCCTAACAGAATTAATAAAACATGGAATTTGCTATTTGTTTAAAAACAAGTCTCTAAAGAGTTCCATGATACTGCTATTACTCAAGGGGATTTATAAGAATGGCCAAAGATTAAAAACCTGGCAATCCAGGATGAGAAAGGTTAGTCAGAATCTAGCTACATGGACTGAAAGTTATTTTCTAAATCCTTATTTGAAAGACTGGATTTCCCTGTTTGCTTGCCCAAACCTCTATAAACTCCTAAGAGTCTCAGCGTTGGAAGAGACCTTAGTCATCAACTAACCCAACTCTCCCCAGTTTGTTGAAAAAGAACTGAGCACAATTATTTTCCAGCATCACTGCCTATACAAGTCAAGACTCACAGACCACCGGTCCCTCAGAGCCAAGCAAGCCCACCTGCACTGCTTGTCGTTCATATAGTGACATTTGAGCTATCTGGGGCCGAGAGCTGCCCCCTGAGCTGGAACTCCCATTGGTGGAGTTGGAGTTCTGCTCGCTCTCAGTCTCCATGATAGTGGTGGTCCAGGGTCCCCACGGCTGATGCTCTGACTCAAGACCTAGATGGAAGCAGCAAAAGGTTAAAATTTATATCTTGATCCCAACCTGTTATTTCATGTTACTATTCAAGAACACCGGAAATTCACAAGTTATCTACGAGTCTTCCTCCTCTTCCATAAGCCATGATTTCTCATCTTAGAACTCCCAGATCTTCAATACACTCTTGCAACCATGTCTTCCCCATGCTACCATCTTTTTGAAGCTATGCAGTCTCAGAAGAAACAACCTTAACAATATTCCCTCATGGGTGTCATTAAATAAAATGGCCAAAATGTGAGATGGTACCTTACAATACCAAAGCCACCTTATATTCCCACAGCACTTTTTAACAGTTTAAAATCTTCCCACTTAAAATTTTTGGTTATCTCATTTTTGTCTCCATCTGCATTCTTATCATCCGAATGAGTCACCATTTACTGGCGAGCCACTAGTTGCCTCCTCTTTCACTGGGCTAGGCACTTCACCTATATTTTATCTCTCATAGCCATGCTGTAAGATAAACACTATTATCCTGATTTTACAATTTTGAAAATGAGGTTTTTATGAGGTTAAAGAAATTGTCCTAGTAAGTATCAAGTCTTTACACTAATACATGCTTCTTCAAACCAAGCTGTGATTAAGGCAGTGTCTCTCATGATAGTGAGTACTCATTATCCTCATTTTATGGAGGAGGACCTTAAGATACTAACACATTTACTGAGTCATGGAAGGTCATAAAACTAGGAGGCAGAAGAGCTCACCTGCAGCCCACATAGCGCAAATAGCTGCCTGGTTCCAGTTTAGGCTACAAATAACACCTCAGGCATGTCACTTTCCCTCCTTATACCTTCTTTCCCTCACTGCAAAGAAGGCTTCATACTGAATGTAATATACCATTTTAAGAAATGACTCCAGAGTATGAAACATAGAAATATACACAATGAAAATCCTCAAGAAAGTAAGATGCAACTTTTTAGTCTACTAACATGTCAGAATTTACCCACTGGGGACTACACTTAAATGTGCAAAAAGACACATGCGAAAACATTGTTAAGAACCAAGCAAAGAGATGAGAAGAAATATTCTTCCAAAGCAGCACTAAATGACAGTAAGGTTTTTTACTCATTCTTTTGTTTTTCTCTTTTGTTATGCTACACACTATTTTCTCTACTTCTGAGGCACTGGGCCACTAGAAATATCAGGTCACCAAAATACTATTTGGCTTAAGAATATAAACATCAAACCAGAATTTCTGCTAAAGGTTGTCAACAGTTTTATTAGGGTGAATGGATCGGTCTTAAGATTGCATCCAAAACAAACAAACAAGCAAAGTAAACAAAATCAAACTGCTTGGCCTTGGCAATAAAGCTGAGGATATTTCTTATTATCATTCCCAGTAACATCCGATCACACCATTATCCCCCCAAATCTTTAGTTTCATTTAGGACTAGAAAATGTCACTGCAAACATGTATATAACCCAAAAAGTACATAGGAAAAATCATATCAGCTTCAACTAGTCTACCTTCTCCCCACATCTTTTGCCAAAATATCAAAGCACTAAACAGATACAGACCCATGAATCCTCATTATCAGCATGTGAAGAAAAAAAGTGGGTAAGGATTAGAGGCAGCACGGCATAGTTTTATAGGTTACTGGATTTAGTTCACTGGACTCAGAGACATGAGACCCCTTTACTAGGTAGAGACCATAATGTCTACATTCACATGTGAAAATACTTACAAGCTGTATGACCCCTCGTCTCCCCCAAAACTGAATTCTTATTAACAATTTTTGTTTTGTTTTGTTTTGTTTTGGGATTGTGAAACAGAAAGAGATGTAAAGGGACCAGCTTAAAAGTCTCAATAAAATCAAAGAAATTTGCCATCAAAACCAGGATTCCTGGATCCCGGGCATATAAATGTATTCATTTGTGACCAACATTATGATTACAAGATTAAATACAAAAAAATAAAGACAACAAACAGTTTGGGCAGCACCAGGAATTAAAATTTTCAAAATTAAACTGGAAGAGAGTGAGAAGCTGATCCACAGATGTCCCCAGAGTAGCTAAGCCACAGTCATCCTAAAAGGTAGCATGTAGGTGTACATGGGTTGGATAGGCGCACAGACCTACCGAAGGGAGCTAGAAAGGGACACTGAGGTGGACTTGGTATTGGGTCGAGAGTTGGAGGAAGTATCCCTAAGCACGAAACTCTTATGTAGAAAGGATGGGGTATAGGAAGGCGGACGGGAGAAGGGGGTGGTTCAGGGAAGACTGTGCCAAAGACATGGTAGTAATCAGGAGAACAGGGAGAGTAGACGCCCAGGGGTCCTCGTTCTATATAGAACCTTGATGAAAATGATGTTTCAAAGAGAAATGAAATACACCGGGGAAAGGGGGTGGATCCAGTGGTGCGCCCGGAGTGAAATGACCCAAGTGAGCAGGGACATGTGCATACAGATAGCAGGGAGACGGGCAGAAGTCAAGGAACTGGAGGCTGAGGAACCCAGCGGACCACGAAAGCAGGGAGATAACTGGACAGCATGCTCGGCTGAAAGGACCAAAGTCAGAGAAGGAAAAATGAATAAGAAAACAAGCAGTCAGAGACAGCTAAGGTGACGGACAGACAGCATGAAGCGCAGCGGAATGAATAGCCAGAAGACTGGGACAGGCAGAGCCGAAGGACCGCAGAGCTCAGCGCCAGAGGTAGGCAGGGAAAGCAACTGGGGGAGGTACCTGGGGCGTTACACAGATGGAGGTGGCTGAGGAAACATCCCCGCGCAGCCAAGCCCCCAGAGGTCTTGCCCCTCCCCGGCCCTCGGTCGCCCGGTTACCTTCTCGCCTGACTCCGCACCCAAGTCCTTCCCGGGGGCGTCCACCTCAAGTGCCGGGGTCCCCAGTCGCCAGGCTGGGCTGGGGGCTCGCTCGGCCTCCGCGGCGGGCTCCCCTCGCCTCCTCCCCTTCCTGGAGGGGCGGGGGCGCCGAGGGCGGGGTGGGAGGTGCCCGGCGCGGCCGCGGCTCCCCGCCCCTCCCGCCGCTCCGGGTGCGGGCCCGGCCGCGGCTCAGCCAGGCCTCCGGGGTTCGCTCCGGGCCTGTCACTTCCTGCCCGGCCGAGAAGGTGGGGGCCGCAGGCCGGGGGCTGCGGGCCGGGCTAGAGGAGGGGGCTGCGGGGAGGTGCTTCCGGGGCAGCCGGACCCCTCCCCCGTCCCTCCGCCTCCCCTTGGCGCCCTCCGCCCCCTCCCTTCCGCGCGTCCCTCGTTTCCTGCCGGCGCCCGTTGCCATGGCGACGCAGCTCCCGGGCCTCTGCGCTCCAGGCCCCGGGGTTTTTTCCTCTCTCGCTCTCTTTCTCCTCTTTTTTCCCCCTTTCTTTCTCTCCGAGTTCTGCTCGCCGGTTGGAGGGACGAAACTAAGAAAGTGCTGGCCTCTAGTGGGGAACGCACCTCTCGGAGAAGAGAGGGAGGTGGGAGAAGGGAGGGAAGTGACGTGAGAAGGGGAGAAAGAAGGTATTTTCTGGAGCTGCTGCGAATAAGGGGTAGAAAGAAAGGATCAAAGGCACCAACAGGCAGAGAGGGAGGAAGAGCAAAGCAACAACCCTAGAGAAGCGATAGACTGGGAAAGGAAATGAAGCAAAGGAAAGGAAAACTTTGAGAATGAGAGAAAGGAGAGAGAAGGTTGATTGTTTAATCCCTCACCTCAACTCCAAGAAGGCGGGAAAGAATGCTGCAGAAACAGCGAACCCATTAGGAGTTGACTTCATTTTCAAAGCAGCAACCTAATATAACTTCCTTTGGATAGCATTTAAGTTTGTCATTTTAGGGATTTGTGTGTGCTTCGATTTAAATATATACATAAGAGTTCGAATGACAAAAACGGGAAAAGGCCAGAGTATAAAGAGATGTAGAACAATGGGGCTGTTTCTGGGAACACTAAACATTTGATGGGGGAGCCTTTGTCATTGTATTTATGATATCAATTTACCGGTTTTTAATTATTCTCTCAGTCCTTCAACATTCAATAAGTATTTATAGAGCGCCCACTATGTGCTAAACCATGGAAGCTTGGATTGCATCAGTGCACAAAACAAAACTGCCTTACTGCCTTCATTAACCTTTACAGAGGGGCTGGAGGATGCCTCGTGGATTAACAACTGGGATTGATGCTTCTTCTCTTGCTATCAGTCTTTTCCTAACCTCTGTCCTAGCCGTTATTTTCTCCTGTCAATCCACCCTTTTTCACGCCTTTAAAAGCCCATGTATGGTTTGTTTTTAAAGGAAAAAACAAAAGTATTATCTTTGCTTATAAATTATGTCCATTTAGATTTTGCTTTGAGAGAGGAGTACTTGGACTCCAAGCTCTTAATTTGTGGCAGCCAGATTTAAATCAGCGAACGATCTCTGCCAGGCTTCTAGGAACTAATCAGACAAGTACGTGCGGGAAGAAATCGGAGGGCAGCCAAAGGACTGGAAAAGAGAAGACACGGGGTTAGAGGAGGTGAAAGGGTGTGTTGCCAGGCTGTGTGATGACAGGCATTGGCTGAGGATGAATTGAAAAGATTCCGACTGGGAGAACTAGTGCTGAAAACGAGGTAAATAAAGCATTAGTTGTTTAATTCACACCTGGATTTTTGGCATGTCAAAGGAGTTAAAGCTTTCTTGCAGAAGTTTAGAAATGGATGTTGAGCCTAAGCGGAATTTTCTAGCACAATGGAAAAAAAAGCATCTATAGATTTTTCAGATTATACAACGTTAATATCAAGAAACACGACACGTGCTTCCTTGGTTTCCCTGGGAGAATGATCACTGTTAAGTGTCTAAAGAAGGTTTATAAGCTATTCCAAGAATAAGGAATGCAGATACCAGAAGGTATGCACTTGTTTTTCATACCAGGAGGGTAGGTACATGACCATATTGCATTTCAGCCTCCTTACAAATGGAGCGGAATTACTACTAATGCGATAGTTAGCATTCTACCGCTGAAGATTTTTTTTGTGCTTACTGGGTCACCGGCTCCTACAGCTACTCGATAATGTAAGGGGATAAGCAATAAATATTTTGTTGCGTGCCTGTTGTAAACTTATCCTGAGAAGAATCTGTCATGGGGCATGCTAAATTGACTATGGGCCGGTAGTTTAACTTTTATATGTAAAGGTGTGTGTTCCATATGCCACAGTATTCTTTTCAATTTCATTTTTCTCCAAGTCAGTCCAGTATTCTAAGGTCATAGGTCTAAACAGTTTCCACCAAAAAAGATTTAGTATAAAAAAGAAATTTATCAACAACAAAATAAAGATACAGGAAAACCTTCATAAGAAAATCATTTTCATAGACTAAATCAGGTTGAGAGCAGGCATTGAAGAGCTTATCTCGGTCGAAACAGCAAAACAATTTGTGTTCCTAGAGAATACTCAACTGACTTTTTTTTTTTTAATTTTTCTAAACTTTCTCATTTTCATTTAATGACTCTGCTGGAATTAGTCTTTTCTTTTTCAAACAGAATGGTTCTTCTGAATGGAGGCTACATAATTTCTTTACTCTGCATAACACTGAGGGCCATTAACCTAAACGGGTGAGAAGGAAAAGCATTTAGTCTGGTGTATAGAAATTGAAGCCCTCCTGCAAACTTCTCTAAATAAAGAAGGATCCTGATTTTAAAGGATGTTTGGCAGCAACTAAAGCAAACAGACTAGAAGGTAAGCTAATAAAACTCATATCAACTGAGCATTGCTTACGCATTCCTCAAGCTTCTGTAAACCCAGCATTCTGCAATAAATTGTGAAGGAAGAGATGTCCTTTACCCAAAGGTGTTAGCATCATTGGCATGTGTCTCTAACTACAAATCATCAAGTAAGAATGTGTGACCGTGTTTTCATGCAAATATGAATAGGAAGACGTAGAAAAAAAAAAGAAAATCATGACCTTACTCTGCCCACCATCAGCTGTCGCTGTGAACCACCATACACATCCCACCCGTATCTCACTGTAATTCTGCATGCCACTTTAAGGTCTAGTTGGGAGAAAATGAAGATTGAGTGGATTTATGGGCTCTTAGATATTTAAAGCAAAAAGGCAAAAAAAAAAAAACTTTAAAACTAAGCCCCTCAGGTGGGGCACGGTGGCTCACACCTGTAATCCCAACACTTTGGGAGCCCAAGGCAGGTGGATCACCTGAGGTCAGGAGTTCGAGACCAACCTGACCAATATAGAGAAACCCTGTCTCTACAAAAAATACAAAATTAGTTGGGCGTGGTGGCGTATGCCTGTGATCCCAGCTACTCGGGAGGCTGAGGCAGGAGAATCACTTGAACCCGGGAGGTGGAGGTTGTGGTGAACTGAGATTGCACCATTGTACTCCAGCCTGGGCAACAAGAGCAAAACTCCATCTAAACAAACAAACAAACAAAAAAATGAAGCCCCTCAATTTTCAGTGAAGAGAATTGAAGTCTATGAAGTCTAAATGATAAATGTAGAAGAGGGATATTTCATAATCCCTAGCAAATAGAAGATGTCCAATAAATATTAATTAATTTCCTAGATTCTTGCCCTTCTTTCATAGAAAAGAAGATGAAATTAAAAGATATAAAGATACCTCTCATCCGTTGCTACTAATACCTTCCATAGTTCCCTTCTTCAAGCAGAAGTTTAAAATTAACATACTAATTGGTCAGCCTGATAGTCCAACCATCATTACCCACAAAAGATATAGATGTACCGCCACATCCTTAAGGAGCATAAGACTAACTAACAATGTTATTCATGCTTCATCAGTTTAGATAGTTATAATGATGGCAAACTGTGCACCTTCCCTTAACTTTGGTTTGCTTTCAGTAAAACAGGGCTAACAGTTGGTGGTTGGTGTAAATAAGTGAGATAGGTGGTGTAAAGCACTTCACATGGGACCTGATGCATAGCACAAGCTATTATTAATTTTCCTTAGTAACTAATGTATTTTTGTCATTACCAAATATGACTAAACTACCCTTTATGTTTTATTCAGCTTACATCACAATCTTATTAACTCACAATTTAGTTGAGTTATGCATTAATTAGTTCATGAACTTAATATTATTTTATATGAAAAAGAGTATTCCCAGCTGGGCAGGGCAGCTCATGCCTGTAATCCAAGCACTTTGGGGGGCTGAGGCAGGTGGATCACTTGAGGTAAAGAGTTCGAGACCAGCGTGCCTAACATGGTGAAACCCCGTCTCTACAAAAGTACAAAAAAAGTAAGGCCGGGCGCGGTGGCTCAAGCCTGTAATCCCAGCACTTTGGGAGGCTGAGGCGGGTGGATCACGAGGTCAAGAGATCGAGACCATCCTGGTCAATAAGGTGAAACCCCGTCTCTACTAAAAATACAAAAAATCAGCTGGGCATGATGGTGCACGCCTGTAGTCCCAGCCACTCGGGAGGCTGAGGCAGGAGAATTGCTTGAACCCAGGAGGCGGAGGTTGCAGTGAGCCAAGATTGTGCCATTGCACTCCAGCCTGGGTAATGAGCGAAACTCCGTCTCAAAAAAAAGAAAAAGAAAAAAAGTTAGCTGGGTGTGGTGGCGCATGCCTGTAATCCCAGCTACCTGGGAGGCTGAGACAGGAAAATCTCTTGAATCCAGGAAGCAGAGGTTGCAATGAGCCTAGATCGTGCCATTGCACTCCAGCCTGGGTGACAGGAAAATCTCTTGAACCCAGGAAGCAGAGGTTGCAATGAGCCTAGATCGTGCCATTGCACTCCAGCCTGGATGACAGAGTGACACTTCATCTCAAAAAAAAAAAAAAAAGAAAGAAAAAGTATTCCCTTCCTTGTATACTAAATTTACCTCTTTCAGGCTTAAAATGTGTCTTCTAGTCTCCTATTTCAGGATTTAGGGAGCAAAACCATGGGGGACCAACCACTAGATTTATACCCTATTGGGTTGTGTGTCCTAGGCGAAGAGAGCCAGGTACCTGGGAAAAAGTCTACAGGAAAAACAATTCAGAATATACTTAGAGCCTCTGCTCATGGCTTCACATACATTATTGCATTCAACTCACTCAATAACCTTTTCTGCCTGCTGTTTTTAATCCTTAATTTACAGATGAGGAAATTAGAGCTCTAAAAGATTAGGTAAGTTGCTGAAGGTTCATAGGGGTAATAAGTAACGGAGTCAGAATTTAAATTCAGGTCTGTCCAACTTCAAAGCTCATAACTACGTTACATCCTTCACAGTGTGAAAATAGAGTGTTGCAAAAGATCTGTTTAAAATGCTTAGCATATACATAAATGTTTGCACAAAGAAGCTTGGCATTTGCCATGGTAAATACCTGCAATGGAAGGCCCACTCTGCCTTTGTTAACTAGAGAAATAGCTCTAGTTGGCCGGGCTTGGTGGCTCAAGCCTGTAATCTCAGCACTTTGGGAGGCCGAGGCGGGTGGATCACGAGCTCAAGAGATCGAGACCATCCTGGTCAACATGGTAAAACCCCATCTCTACTAAAAATACAAAAAATTAGCTGGGCATAGTGGCGCGTGCCTGTAATCCCAGCTACTCAGGAGGCTGAGGCAGGAGAATTGCTTGAACCCAGGAGGCGGAGGTTGCAGTGAGCCGAGATCGCGCCATTGAACTCCAGCCTGGGTAATGAGCGAAACTCTGCCTCAAAAAAAAAAAAAAGAGAAATAGGTCTAGTTATAAGTCTGTAAAGACACTGTGGAGATGTCTCAGCAGAAAATAGAGATGTATATATTATTTCCCTAAATTCTCTGTTTTCTCTCTTGTCTACTGATAAACTGTAGTAAGCAGAATAATGTCCCACACCAATGATGTCCCCCATCTGTGAAACCTGTGAATATGTTATGCTCCATGGCAAAAAGAAATTAAAGTTGCAATTGGAATTAAGGTTGTTAATCAGTTGACCTTATAAAATAGGGAGATTATCATGGATTACCTGGGCAAACCCAGTGGAATCACAAGCGTCGAAGGAGGCAGGAAAGACAGATTGAATGATGTGAGAAGTGTTGAACCTGTCATTGCTGTCTTTGACACTGGAAGGGAGCCGCACACCACGTAATGTGGGAAGCCTTCAGAAGCCAGAAAAAACAAGGAAATGGATCCTCCCCAGAGCTTCCCCGAAAAGAACACAGCCCTGCTGCCACCTTGATTTTCACCCAGTGAGAGGCGTGTCAGACTTCTTTCTTGTTTTATTTATTTATTTTATTTTTTATTATATTCTTTTTGAGACAAAGTCTACTCTGTCTCCCATGCTGGAGTGCAGTAGAATGATGTCAGCTCACTGCAGCCTAAACCTCTCAGGTTCAAGCAATTCTCATGCCTCCGTTTCCCAAGTAGCCGGGATTATAGGCACCTGCCCAGTCAATTTTTTTTGTTTTCTTGTTTTTTTTTTTTTTTGTTGTTTGTTGTTGTTGTTGTTGTTTTAGCTGTAAGTTTATTCAATGCAAAATAATCCTGTCCAATTTTACTGAGGTGGCTGACCACGTCCACGACCAAATCTGCCTCTAAACTGGAATTCAGTTGCAGACCCAGCCCCCGCCTCAGCTTTCTTGTCAGCACCAGGTGGCACAGCACTCTGTCTGTAGGTATCTCTGTCAGCTTCCCCTCTTGTGAGTCTTGCAGGTCGCTCACCTTCCAGACCTTTAGGCTGAGGCCTGCCTGTCTCTGGACGGCTGCGGCGTAGGGTGGCAGACGCGATCTCTGGGGGCAGATGGAGGTAATCACAGAGATACTGGATACCCTCATTGGTAAGGTACCAGTAGAAATGTCTCCAGGCAAACTGTTCCTTCACATAGCCTCGGGATTTGAGAGACTGCATGGCTTTCATGACATGAAGGTTGGGCATGTTCTTGTCTGCCAGCTCCGGGTGCTTAGGCATGTGGACATCTTTCTTGGCCGCCATGACTCCCTCCTTAAAAAGGAGCTCATAAATGGCAAGCCGGTTCTTCTTAGGCATCAAGATCACGGTGGCTGTAGGGTCCGGGGCCGGGGCTGGAAAGCTTTTTTTGGGTTTTTTTTTTTGGAGACCTAGTCTTGCTCTGTCACCCAGGCTGGGGTGCAGTGGCACAATCTTGGATCATTGCAACCTCCACCTCCCAAGTGATTCTTCTGCTTCAGGCCCCTACCTCCCTTGTAGCTGGGACTACACGTACATGCTGCCATACCCAGCTAATTTAGAAGAGACAGGGTTTCACCATGTTGCCCAGACCGGTCTCAAAATCCTGAGCTCAGACAATCTGCCCTCCTTTTTTGTTTTGTTTTGTTTAGACGGAGTTTTGCTGTTACCCAGGCTGGAATAGAGTGGATTGATCTCAGCTCACCACAACCTCCACCTCCCAGGTTCAAGCAATTCTCCTGCCTCAGCCTCCTGAGTAGCTGGCATTACAGGCGTGCACCACCATGGCCAGCTAATTTTCATATTTTTAGTAGAGACGGGGTTTCACCATGTTAACCAGGATGGTCTCGATCTCTTGACCTCGTGATCCACCCGCCTCGGCCTTCCAATGTGCTGGGATTATAGATGTGAGCCACTGTGCCCAGCTTACTTTTTTTTTTTTTTTTTTTTTTTTTGAGATGGAGTTTTGCTCTTGTGGCTCAGGCTGGAGTGCAATGGCAATCTCAACTCATCGAAACGTCTACCTCCCAGATTCTTATGCCTCAGCCTCCCGAGTAGCTGGGATTATAGGCATGCACCACCACACCTAGCTAATTTTGTATTTTTAGTAGAGATGGAGTTTCTCTATGTTGGTCAGGCTGGTCTCGAGCTCCCGACCTCAGGTGAACAGCCTGCCTCAGCCTCCCAAAGTGCTGGGATTATAGGCATGAGCCACCGTGCCCTGCCTAGGACATTTTTGTTTTTAATTTTTTCGGTGCATAGTTCCTGATCTCTATGTGCTGCGCGGTGCAGAGCAAACTGGCACTTGTTTCAGGCAATTTAAACCTTCCTTTCATATGCTAAATTCTTCCTTGTGATACTCTACTGGCTTACTAGGCATCCAGTTCTCATTACAGTCCATGGCTATTCTTATAAATCTCGTAATATGTTTTGGAGGGGAAACCTGCATTTGGTGCACCCACCTTAGGCAAGAGACATCTGGAACTCTGAGATTGGACCCCACAGGAGAATGCTCCCTGGGTTCTGAGAAACTTAAACTCTCCAAACAGGACGCTTTTGGCCGAGGTTCTGAGGTCTAGTATTAAACCCTCCTTATAATTTTCTCTCGCAGACAGGGCATGGTGTCTCACACCTGTAATCCCAGCACTTTGGGAGGCCGAGGAATGCAGATCCTTTGAGGTCTGGAGTTCGAGACCAACCTGACCAACATGGTGAAACCCTGTCTCTACGAAAAATACAAAAAAATTACCCTGGCATGGCAGTGCATGCCTGTAGTCCCAGCTACTCAGGAGGCTGAGGCAAAATAATTGTTCAAGCCCACGAGGTGGAGGTTGCAGTGAGCTGAGATCAGGTGCCACTGCACTCCAGCCTGGGTGACGGAGCCAAACTCTGTCTTAAAAAAAAAAAGAATTTTCTCTCACAGTTGCAATGCTGCTTGGCCCCAAAATTGTTTAGAATCTGAAATTTACTGTCTAATCGGAATGTAGAATGGCATTACATTTGTCCAGGCTTCTGTGCTGCTGTTCTAAGGGCAGGGGGGTGGCTGGTTTAACGTGAGATGCCCTCCTTTGGTACTGTTTGGCCCCAGTGCTTCTTGAAGTCTGGGGATGCTGGGAGGCCTAGCCTTTAAATATCAAACTGCCGTGGAGTCTGCTTTATCTGAAATTTTGGTTCACAGCCTTCCTTTTATTATCTATTAGGTTGAAGAGAAACCACAAGTTTGTATTGCTATCTCATGGCTAAGGTGACAAGGTATTGGATCTTCATTAATGTGTGTGTATAGTGTGTATATACATGTCTAGATGTGTTTGTTTGTAGGTACACTTATTGTTATATGTTGTGTCTACCAAATTGGCTTATAAGTAAAAGAGCTCTTGCTTCTTTTTGGCTGGAACCGCCATCTTCCAGTAATTCGCCAAAATGACGAACACAAAGGGAAAGAGGAGAGGCACTCGATACATGTTCTCTAGGCCTTTTAGAAAACATGGAGTTGTTCCTTTGGCCACATATATGCGAATCTATAAGAAAGGTGATATTGTAGACATCAAGGGAATGGGTACTGTTCAAAAAGGAATGCCCCACAAATGTTATCATGGCAAAACTGGAAGAGTCTACAATGTTACCCAGCATGCTGTTGGCATTGTTGTAAACAAACAAGTTAAGGGCAAGATTCTTGCCAAGAGAATTAATGTGCGTATTGAGCACATCAAGCACTCTAAGAGCCGAGATAGCTTCCTAAAACGTGTGAAGGAAAATGATCAGAAAAAGAAGGAAGCCAAAGAGAAAGGTACCTGGGTCCAACTGAAGCGACAG